AGTATTATTATTATATTAACTGACCTATACTATTTTAATTGTCTGGTACATGATAGTAGTCTGAACAATATTGTGATGTTAGCACACAAGTTTAAGCTAGCATTGTTAACTCACCTGCTGCTCCCCCGCTGTTCTCCAAAATTTCTCTTCTTTGGCCGATGATTTCTCCCTCTGTTTGTCTCTGCTCTCTGGGGCGTGCAGCAAACTCACAACTTTATGGTTTTGGTCCATCATAAGTAGAATTATAAACATTTAAAGTTTCCTCTGTGTCAGAGCCGCATTAGAGTCCATGTTTTTCTCTGGAGAAAACTGACAGGACTCCCTTAGCTGACGTCACTTGGGTTGGCAAAAAAATGAAATAATAAATGTTCTCACAAAAAATTACTCAAAAAGCCTAAATTATTTATGTATGTGTAAAAAAATGTTTAAAATGAGTTTCTATTATGTTTCTCTAAACAATGGTTGATGGGAGTCTCTAACCTGTAATTTGCTCTTTTAGATAAAAGCCTTGCTAAACTGTGTATTAAACAAGAAAAAAACAATAAAATTTGAAAGGAACTACAGAAAGAGCATAACAATTAGTTGAATATTTTAGTTGCGGTGGTGAGGGGGTCTATGCTAATTTGCCCTTTAATGGTTTCATTTTTTTACATTTTTGTTTTTAATTTGTAAGTGTCCTCATTTTCTATTTTTATGTATTTTTAATGTTTCAGGAAGTGTTTAATTGCTCCACTGCTGATCAGACTCTGAACTACCAATGGAGAAAGTCTTTAGCGTGCTTGTGTAAAGAGGAGAGCAGCACACACTCACTAACAACACAGCAGATTCAGGGATGTTGGTCTGTTCTGAGCAAAAACAGAAACATGTGTTCTGATTACCTTCAGATACAGTTTCACAGCATATAATTCCCTAGAAGTTTTACTCTTTGTACCCCATTGTTCAGCTGCAGCTAGGCTTGACCTAACGTTATCAGTGTGAACATTTACACTCTGTGCATGTGGCAAAATCCTTCAAGCTGACTTCAATTGTGCAACATCCAGAGTTCAAGCTTCCCTTCTCACAGTTTTGCTGAGCAGAATCTGTGAGTGCAGTTGTTCAGCACAATATATGGTTAAAAAGATATTTATTTGTAGAACAAAAGCTAAAACTTTACTGTTATTTATCATGAATTTTCGCAATCCTTGTTTGAATAACGTGACTGATAAAGTTAATCAGTAAAAAAAACTGGAAAACGTGCAGCAGTCACCTTATCAACATGAGATACATGGACTGATGGCTGCTGCCCCTCCCAAAGCTCCTGTCAGAGTTCACTGTTACCTAATATTGCAACACTAAATGACTTCCTGTATCTGTGTGAAGGCTGAAGACTGTCCTTAGCCTTAGATGCTATCTCTCCTGTCACAACGTCCTTTTACTATGTTGTAAATTTATCTTAACTCCCATTAGAAACTGTGAGGTGGTAACTAAAACAATGACTAATAACATTTAAGGATTCATATAAATTCTAAAACTAACAAGGCAATTTAAAGTTAAAAAATGTGCCCCAAAAAACTATTAATTATAGTAAACAGGAGTTCAAAATTTTGAATATGGTGCAATAGTCCACAGAACCCTTTGCAAGTGTTTTGGATTAATTACATTGACACTTGCATCCTAGAACATCAAACCTCTTGAAAAATATTCTAATTGAGAGTTAGTTTTAGGGGTTTTCATAAGCTTTAAGCCACAATCATTAAATTTCCATGCATTCATCCATCCATTTTACCCCACTTACCCTGGGTGGGGTCACAGGGGCAGCAGCCTAAGCCAAGAGGCCCAGACTTCCCTCTCCCCAGCCACTTGGGCCAGTTCCTCTGGGGGATTTCCAGGGCATTCCCTAGCCAGCCAAGAAACATAGTCCCTCCAGCATGTCCTAGGTCTTCCCTTAGGCCTGCTCCCATTTGTCCAAAAACCTCACCAGGGAGGCATCCAGGATGCATCCTAACCAGGTGCCCGAGCCACCTCAACTGACTCCTCTTGATGAGGAGGAGCAGCAGATTTACTCTGAGCCCCTTCTGGATAACTGAGCTTCTTACCCTATCTCTAAGGGACATATCCTGTGGAAAAAAACTCTTTTAAGCCACCTGTATATGATCTCATTTTTTAGGTCACTACCCAAAACTTGTGTCCATGACCATAGATGAGGATTGGAACATTGATCAACCAGTAAAACATGAGAAGCCTTCCGGCGCATTCAGCTTTCTTATACAGAACCAATCTATCTGATCTCCTGCTTCATCTTTCCCTCATTCATAAACAAGTCCCAGAGGAATTTACACTCCTCTACTTGGAGGGACCTAACACCCCATATCAAGGAGGTTGGTGCCCCACACTCCCAGAGTACCCCACTAGGCCCCTAGAGGGATGCAGTCGAACCCCTTCTCAAAATTCATAGAACATATTGGTTGGGCAAACTCCCATGCACCCTCCTGGAGACTACTAAGGGTATAGAGCTTGTCCAGTGTTCCGGCCACAACAAAAGCCACAATGCTCATCATGAATCTGAGGTTGGACTATCTGGGGGACCCTCTCTCCAGAACCACTGAATAGACTGCTGCTAGTTGTGACCCCCTGGGGCAATCGTCTGCACCTCTCAAGAGGGGGCTGAGGTTTTTCAGGTTACAGTCTCCCTGGGGTCCCTGTGCTCTGGGGCAGCTCCTGGATCTCTGGGACTTGTAGCTCCCTCCATCTCCTACATTTGGGGGGCAGATCTGTGGCCCCTCACATTCTCTATTGGACAGACCTATAGAGCTCCGGGAGTTGACGTCACTTCTCCCGGCATGCAACAGTTCAAATCGAAACGGCGCCATATTGGCATGCAGAAGCCGGCAGCTGGACTATTTACTATTGTCAGAAAACTCAATCAAACGGGAAATATGGTAGATTCCTGTTGTGCCCCAGGATGCTGAACAGGCGCGGACAACATAAGGAATGAGACATCTACAGGATTCCCCAAGATCCGGAGCGCCGCAAACGTTGGATCATTGTAATAAAATGCGCTAGTGACCGGGCGAAAATGAAGCTGTGGGATCCCGAGAGTAAAGGTTTTCGCTTATGCAGCGACCACTTCATATCAGGTACTTAAACCAACATTTCCTCAACTGTGCATGGTATTTATTTTAAATGCTTTTATTATGATTCTTAGTGGGCTTCCTAAACTTATTTTGGCGTGGCTTTTTCTGTCTTATTACTCATAGCAGCAAGTAAACATCACGTAAAACGTTGCCTCGTGAGTTCTGCGTGCTGCCGTTTACGTGTTTTATGATGACAGCAATTAACCGGCTAAGCCGTATTTAATTTTTAAGCAATGGTTGATCAGATCACACATAAAAAGCACTTTGGATTGCTATTATCTGTGTCACCGAGACTACTTACATGTAAATCTGTTATTTGTCCGTCCATCCATCCATTTTCATCCGCGAATCCGGAGTCGGGTTGCTGGGGCAGTAGCGTGACTTCCCTCTCCCCAGCCGCCGGAGCCAGCTCCTCCGGGTAAATCCCAAGGGGTTCCCCGGTCAGGTCCGGTGCTGTGCCGGTCCGCTCCGACAGCTTCTGGCGTCGGAGCGGGCAGTAGAGTCGAGAGTCCCAGACCTTCTCCCCAGCTCCTCCGGCCGGGGGAATCCCAAGGGGTTTCCCCGGCCAGGTCCGGTGTTGTGCCGGTAAGAAGTCCGCTACGACTTCTGGCGTTTTTAAAAAGTATCCCAGGGGCACGGTAAGGGTCGGAGATGTTTAGTCTATTTAATTTCTGACTATATAAAACGATTTCTTCTGTTTTAAAGTGTGAAGTAAACTCCGACGAAGTAAAATCCAAGCGGATCCCGTTCATGTTCATGGTTACATCCGTGTTTGTTTACCTTTTTTGCATGCCAAAATGGCGTCCACTAACTGAGAGTCACGTGGGGTCCGGAGCTCTATAGAGAAACCTTACATGTACAAGTGCGTGTACACACACAGGTGCTCACATAAGTATGGACTTGGGCATTGTCAACACATGTCTTAAGGCTATGGTTGGCACTACATGTACTGTGATTTATTATTGTGTGATGTTCAGCAAAACAATGTTGATTTTATATTTCCTCATCAGGTTAGTGTGGTGATAGCTTGCTACTGTTGTATTGTTGTGTGTCCCCTTCTCTTCTCTTCTCCTCTTCTCTTTGTTTCTTTTTCTGCAGGTCTAGAAGCAGACTCTTGTTCATCATTGATTGTTTATTTTTGTGGACCCCCCCCAGCTTTTGTCTGTTCCTTTCTCTTTCACCTCTGTCTCCGTGTCTGGTCGGAATATTATAAAGCATTCAACAAACAATAACAAGAAAGTTTTAAGTATCAGGCGTGACATTAAAGCAGAAGCTTTGATGCTGCACCTGAGAGTAAATCTGTAAGTCTTTTCACCAGCATTCATTCAGACATCAATTGTGTTTGCTTCACAGCCAGACAGGACACGAAAAGAAAAAAAAGAAAAAGAAAATAAAAATGAACCACTGTGTAGACTTTATCGGAGACGCTCAGGAGTGTGACCCCCCTGCAGTTGGAACACACCCAATGGTCTCCTTCTTAAATAGGGGGACCACCACCCCTATCATCAAAATTATAACAAATAAAAGATTGACACTTTTTGCTTTGCATGTAATGAGTCTACCGTGTGTGGTAGTTGAATAACTGAAATCAATTAACTTTGCATGCTATTCTAATTTTTTCACCTGTAGTATATTTCCCAAGTGTTACATTGATGTCTGCAGTTTTAACCACTATAACCTGTTTGTTGCTGTTATGGATGCTTTCATAGTTTGACTGAAATAATTAGCCTGAGGTAAGGTAACAGTGAAGTTTGGGTTGCATCTGCAGCTCCTGCCTGATCAAACTCACAAGCAGACGTTTAGCAAGTCTCTCCGACCTTCTTTTAATGATACCAATTCATTTGAACTGATAAGGCCACGTTGGCTCTCCTTAAACCTCCGGACAGGACAGAGCGCAGCTCTGCGGATGGGCCTGCGCATCCACTTGTTGAGTTCACAACAGTTCACTGGCGCGCAGCTCTATTTAAGGAAGCAACAGCATGTCGCACGGGTTTGTCAGGCGGGAGTCGGTGGAAACGGAGATGCACAGATCCGGAGAGAAAGAGAAAACGTTGGTTTACACCAAGAAGAGGGGCTACGATGTTACCCGAAACCCCCTCCTGAATAAGGTGGGTGTTTGTTCTCGTTTGGCTGAGTTTTCGGCTTGTTCCGTGACCGGTTAGCTGCTGCATTCAGGTGCTGTAGGACACAGCTACTCTGGATAAACGCCGCAGCGGTGGGTAAACAAAATGTTTAATAAAATGTGACAGCTTTATTTCATATTAGCTCACGAACTTTAATACACTTTTTAAGAGTGTATAAGCTCAAAACATACAAGCTGAACACGATCAATAACGACTTGTCTTCTGACTGACAACGTCAATTTCCCACAGAGGCTGTGTAGGCGAACCGGCGTTTTTGTTCAGTCATTAACTTAAATGACAATTAAAGGAGGAATTATCGATATGACGCATAGTTTATCATCTTGATTCGAAGTACTTTATTCACCAGGCCTAGGGGCGATATGTGAATGTAACACCAGCCAGCCCGTTTGGGTATCAGCTTTTAACGTGTTTATATTTAGACTTAAATGCTGCAGCCTGGCAGATAGGACCCAGGGACATCTGTTTACACCGTGGAGCTTTACTGAGACAACTGGGAATATTGTGATAACAATAATATTTCATTGTAAGCACTAGATTTTAAATTAAAGTCATGCATAATAATTCTCTAACTTTTTTTGATTGTATGTTTGTGAAATAAGAAGAAAATAGAGGTCAGATAGAATTTGCACAATCATGCAATAAATAATGCTGAGTAGGTTCCTTGCAAATCACGAGACCAGGGTGTGACTTTGCATGTGGACAAAAAATCATGTCAGTGTTAGGATTTGTATTATGGATCTTTTCTTTTGCCTGTGCCACATGTGTTCATCCCCACACATACATGAAGAACAATGATGCCTTTTGAGCTTTCTGGTGTTTTCTCTTGGTTTTGCAATAGGACAGGGCCCCAAAGGTCAAGTTGTGGCCACAGGCTCGCTGTCCAGGGTGCTGACTTACCCTTTAAAACAGCTTTAACTCGGGTGTGATTCTGTGTTCAGTTTGAGTCCAGTCCAGCTGTTCTTTTGTCTCAGTTCGACTGCTCACATCATCTATTTTTAGCCTCTGAGATTTGTCACAGGTCACATATTTTTCTAAATGAAATAACATGAAGGACTTTCCACATAAGTGCATTCTAGTTTACTTATTCTCATATTGATACAAGTAATAGAGACCTAGAGTATGCCCAGAGTCTGTTTCACAAGCAAAGCTGTGCATAGCTGATAAAAGTTTCTCTTGTGTGAGAGAGCTGATAAGTGAGATAGTGGAGTCGGTACAGATCAGCCACTATAAGTGGGGTGATAGCTGCTGATCTGCTGGCTGTCCAGTACTGAGGTCTGCTTGTTAGTGACTCCTCACCAAAGCACCAAACTCAATCTGTTTGTTTTTCATGTGTATTAGTGTGTGTTAATGGAGGATTTTGTAGGCCGATGCACCATCTAAGTGTGTGTATAATGCAGATTAATCCAAGTAAAACACAAAGAGTTTTACTGTGTTTATGTTGTGAAAGAATACATTAATGCACGGATTTTGTTCATCTAGTCAGTTAAATGTCTTGATGAGAAATTCAGACTCATTTCTACTTCATTAGGCAACGTTTTTGAATGAAAAATGATTTAGAGGATTTTTTCATATTATGATAACGCATTTGCTTATATGGATGTTTAATGTGTTATATTGTAGCACAAGCAGCTTAAATACAGCAACAAAACATACAGCCCTGCACTCCTCATGCTTGTATTCTCAAGGTCTGACAGTAACAACCTTCTTGCATTCTTTGAGAATAAAATAAAAAAATATCAAGGCAAGTTTTTCACCCCATCGTCTTCCTATTCTCCCATCCCATCTTCATCCTAATCACGGTCCTTCTTTACTCCTGTAAATTTCCTTTTGTCTCATTCAGAAACACATGAAACTAATCATGCTCTGTTGATATAATCCCAACAACTTTGCTTCTTAAAGTATTTGACCAAATTTGCCCATCCATCCATCCATCCATCCATCCATTTTCATCCGCTTATCCAGAATAGGGTCGTGGGGGCAGTAGCCTAAGTCGAGAGGCCCAGACTTCCCTCTCCCCAGCCACTTGGGCCAGCTCCTCTGGGGGAATCCCAAGGCGTTCCCTGGCCAGGTGAGAGACATAGTCCCTCCACTGTGTCCTGGGTCTACCTTTAGGTCTCCTCCCGGTTGGACGTGCCCGGAAAACCTCACCAGGGAGGCTTCCAGGAGGCATCCTGACTAGATGCGCGTGCCACCTCAACTGGCTCCTCTCGATTTGGAGGAGCTGCGGGTCTACTCCGAGCCTCTCCCGAATGACCGAGCTTCTCACCCTATCTCTAAGGGAGAGCCCAGCCACTCTTCGGAGAAAACCCATTTCAGCCGCTTGTATCCGCGATCTCGTTCTTTCGGTCACTACCCAAAGCTCATGACCATAGGTGAGGGTAGGAACGTAGAACGGCCAGTAAATCGAGATTTTCGCCTTCTGACTCAGCTCTCTCTTCACCACGACAGACCGGTACAACACCCGCATCACTGCAGATGCAGCACCAATCCGCCTATCGATCTCATGCTCCAGTTTTCCCTCACTCGTGAACAAGACCCCGGGATACTTAAACTCCTCCACTTGGGGCAGGACCTCATCCCTGACCCAGAGAAGGCATTCTACTCTTTTCCAGATCAAGACCATGGTCTCAGATTTAGAGGAGCTGATTCTCATCCCAGCTGCTTCACACTCGGCTGCGAACCGCTCCAGCGAAAGCTGAAGATCATGTTCTGATGAAGCCAACAGGACCACATCATCTGTAAAAAGCAGAGACTTGAACCTCAGGCCATCAAAACGGATGCCCTCCACACCTTGGCTGCGCCTAGAAATCCTGTCCATAAAGGTTATGAACAGAATCGGTGACAAAAGGCAGCCTTGGCGGAGTCCAACCCTCACTGGGAACGAGCTCGACTTACTGCCGGCAATGCGGACCAAGCTCTGACACCGGTCATACAGGGACCTAACAGCCCATATCAGAAGGCCTGGTACACCATACTCCCGGAGTACCCCCACAGGCCCCCCCGAGGGATGTGGTCAAACGCCTTCTCCAAATCCACAGAACACATGTAGACTGGTTGGGCAAATTCCCATGCACCCTCCAGGACCCCCTAAGGGTATAGAGCTGGTCCAGTGTTCCACAGCCAGGATGAAAACCACATTGCTCCTCCTGAATCTGAGGTTCAACAATCCGACGGAGTCTACTATTGAAGCTGCCATTACGCTTTTGGCCTGAGGGGGCAATCGCGAGCATAAAAAGTCAAAACTCTGTAAAGTCCCTTTAAGACCTAGCCTGGTAATAACTTTATTTCCAATGTGTGACAAACCCACACAACTCTAACATGTGGGCCGGACATGGAGAATGAAAGAGATTTGCTTTGTATTTGTCAGATGAATAACTCACCTGTCGTATGCTGGACTTTAAAAGCAGAATCTCATGGAATTATTGACAAAAAGACACAATTTTTAGCACAAAGACTACGAATAGAAAACTTTGAACATAGTAATAAATCAGGTAAATTCTTAGCTAGCCAATTAAAAATAAATAAAGAGAAAACTACTATATCTGCTGTTAAAGACTCAACCGGGAATATAGTATATGACCCTGAAAGAATAAACAACACCTTCAGAGACTTTTACCAAATGTTGTACTCACCACAGATAAACCCATCAGATAATGAGATCGATGAGTTCCTTGACAGGATAACACTTCCTAAATTATCAGACAGCCAAGTTACAGTCCTGGACTCGCCACTAACATCAGCGGAGCTCCAGGAAGCCCTTAAATCCATGACGAATAGGAAAGCTCCAGGTCCAGACGGGTTTCCAGTAGAATTCTACAAAGAATTCTGGATCATTCTGGCTCCAATATTTTTCAGAATGGTGAGGGAAATCGAAGAGAGCAGCAGATTACAGCCAAACATGAATTCAGCCAATATTAGTCTCTTGTTAAAACCAGGCAAAGACCCGGCATTTCCTACCAGCTATCGCCCAATTTCTCTTATTAATGTTGATCTCAAAATAATTTGTAAAGCCCTGGCCAAAAGATTAGAGAAGGTAACCCCCTTCATAATACACCCTGACCAAACTGGTTTCATTAAGGGTAGACAATCACCCACAAATTCACGTAGATTACTTAATTTGATAGATTTCTCTTACAGTAGAAACATAGAAACTAGTATATTATCTCTAGATGCAGAAAAAGCTTTTGATAGAGTTAGCTGGAAGTTCTTATTTGCAACTTTACATAAATTTGGTTTTGGGAACTTCTTCATAAACTGGCTACAAACATTATACAGTTCACCAACAGCACGTGTCAGGACGAACGACCAAATGTCAGCTAGCTTCTGTCTTCAGAGGGGGACCAGGCAGGGATGCCCACTCTCCCCCTCACTATTTGCTATCTTTATTGAACCACTAGCAGCAGCAATTAGGCAAACAACAGATATTAAAGGGATAAAGTGTAAGAAAATAGAACATAAGATCAGTCTTTATGCAGATGATGTTTTACTCTTTCTCCAGAATTCTCAATCCTCTCTCTCCCAAGCAATAGAACTGATAAACTCTTTTTCCAGAGTTTCAGATTACTCTATAAACTGGTTAAAATCCACAGTTCTACCAATTAATTTCTCATTTGTCAATTTGCTTAATACACAATTGGAGTCAGGGAATATCACATACCTGGGAATTAGTATCTCTCCCAAGTTAGCGGATCTAACCAAACTGAATTACATCCCACTTTTAAGGAAAGTGGAAGATGATCTTGCAAGATGGAAATCCTTACCAGTATCACTCATGGGGAGAGTTGCTACAATTAAAATGATGGTCTTACCCAGAATAAATTACTTATTCTCGATGATCCCAAACAAACCTCCAGCTGACTGGTTTAAATCTCTGGACTCCTCAATTACTAAATTCCTTTGGCAGGATAAACCTCCACGAATTAGCTTAAAAACGCTTCAGAAGACCAAAGACAGAGGAGGACTGG